CATCACCAGGCAGCCTGCCCTCCTGCAGCACTGCACAACACTGTGAGGGAGGGGGTGTGATTCAAGGTACTCCCTTCCTTATAGACTAGATTATTCTACCCTGCAAGGAGGCTTGACCCACTAAGGGGGTCCTCTCTGGACATGTGGAACACTGAAAATCTATACAGGAGGCACAGCAAAGTCTTAGGAGTTGGGAATGTGACAGGGTCCTATCTTTAAAGGCCCTGGTCTGGCCACGTTCACCACAGATAACTTTTGATACTGGGCAATCCACTGCTGATCTGGCAGAAACTGACAAATTCCCAGAATGCATATGGGGTGTGGGAAAAGCCCAAGACAGGCAGGGAGCTCAGAAAGCCAAAAGGCTATCCCAACAGGCTGTTAAGTGTCTCATAAAAATAGCCCAGAAACAAATGTAGTCTGAACTCATTGCTGCCCAAACGCCACCCGAACAGAGACTGACACCCTCATGTTGTGTTGGTCAGCCTATGGGAAGCCTTAAAACCTGACCATCAGTTCAGACCTGCCCCCTTTGCCTCTGCCATCCCTGCTGCCCCACCAGCTCCAGGAGGCCTCAGGGATCCATGCCCAAGGTATAAGATACAAGCCAAGACTGCCTCCGGGTGATGGCCCTTGGAGGTGATCAGAGGCTTCACGTTGAGCTCACTATTCACTGGTCCTCTGGAGGTAAACAAAAGGTGATGACTCTGGTGGATACCGGAGCCAAATACATACTAATACATGATAGCCCTCAGAAGTTTTCTGGCCCTCTCTGCGCCATTGATGATTACAGAAGGCAAATGGTTATGGTCAGGAAGGCCCTTTGATATTGCAGATTGGGTGTTCTCCCCCTGAGAATATAGATTATTATCTCTCCAATACCAGAGAACCTTTCAGGCATTAATATCCTACAAGATCAAACTTTGTACACCTCTCTTGGTGAATTCTGCCCCTGGATTAGAGTAATCAAACCAGTGCTGAAGGGATACACCAACAGGCAACTGGTAAGCCTGCAACCTCCACAAAAAGTGGCAACTGTCAAACAATATAAATGGCTTTGGGGTGGAAGGCATTAGGAAATAGGAGAAACTATCCAAGAACTGCCCTGAGTTGGTATTGTGTGTCCTGTCCATAGTGCTTTCAAAAGCCTAGTATTGTAACAGGGTGAAAAAGTGTGGCATCTCTGCCTTCCTATTGTGTCTTTCTCCTTTCCTGCCCTAATCTTTGGGTCAAAGAGTTTCTGCTCAGCCCTGAAGCCCTGCACATAGGCTTATTAATCATCAAAAGAAATTTTGCCCATGACTTAACATTAATGCAGTCAGCCCTTTACCTGAAACTTGCCTCCCTCGAGGAAATAAAGAAGCATGTACAAAAATGATAACCAGATTTTCAAAGACTTATAGGAACATCATGGCCAGCCCCATGTCAGTGAAATGACTGGAGCAAACTAACCAAGGACAGGAGTTGCACAACCCTCCTCAGATGTCTGAGGTTGATCATCACCTCCTGACCCCAAACCCTCCTGCTCGTCCCTTCCCTAAAAGAAACTTGAAACCAACCCTAAATTAAGATGAGTCTTTAGGACATTAGTCCACCAGCTTCTTGGTCTGCTGGTGTTCTGAATAAAGTCTCTTTCCTTGCCCTAACACCTTGTCTCTTGAATTATTGGCATATGGCGTGTCATGTGGTGAGTACATGAGACTGAACGTGGTAACAGTATGGCCAATAAAAAAGCCAGATAGCTAAGGGCAGATGACTGAGAATTGAACATGGTAGTGCCACCTACCCATGCACCTATGCCTAATGTTGCTACCATCTTAGATACCTTGGCCATGGTCCTGGGAATGTACCACACTGTGCTGGACTTAGCAATTACCTTTTTCAGTCTACCCCGGCCACTGTCACAAGATCAGTTTGCCTTCACATGGGAGGGGCAACAATGATCTTCCAAATACTTCCCGAAGGCTACCTGCGCAACAATACTATATGTCATGGGATGGTAATCTGGTAACTGTCCTTGTTCTCCTTCCTCAAGTAGGTAAAATGGGCCCATTACATTAATTATGAAATGTTAACATGAGACTTGCCTCTGCTGCAGGACACTCTACAGGCTTTACTGAAACATCTGTGAGAGTGAATCCACAGATAATTCAAGGCCCAGACATCACCATAAGATTTGGGATTATTTGGGCAGGTAAATTGCATGTTGTCCCAGAAGCTGTGATTGATAAGATGCAAATTTATCCAACCCCTAAAAATGTAAAAGAGTGTTAACCTTAAAACTGTCAGTTATATAACCAGCAAAAATGGCTTCGTTCAAGAACAGCAGAGAATTACAATTTGACACAAGCAAGCTACATCAAAACCACAGGCAAGTCCAGAGAAGGACTTGCAAAGGAGAAGAATGCTCTTTTATAGAGGAAAGGGGAGAGTCCACCAGAGTAAACTGGGAGTTTGAAGTATGGTGGTTTTTCATTGGCCAAGTTGTGCCATCTCTTGTTGGCTGGGCTGTTGCCTGCAGAGGAGGAAAAGCTCCCTTCCTCCTGCTGGATAGTAAAATAGCATCTAAAGCCATGTTGTCTTGCAAGGTCCTTCTCTTCTGGTTGGGTCGGCAACTGATGAAGAGTGGTAGGGCATGAGCACTCCCTAAGTGGCCTGGCTCCATGTCAGTGAGGTTTCCCTTTCTTAATTTTCATAAGGGGTACAAGCCTTCATAGGGATTTTGGGATTTGGAGAATTTTTTTTGATATCATTAATCTACAATTACATGAGCAACATTATGGTTACTAGACTCCCCCCATCATCAAGTTCCCCCCACATACCCCATTACAGTCACTGTCCATCAGCGTAGTAAGATGCTATAGAATCACTACTTATCTTCTCTGTGTTGTACAGCCCTGCCCATGCCTCCCCTACATTATGTCTGCTAATTGTAATGCCCCTTTTTTCCCCTTATCCCTCCCTTCCCACCCATCCTCCCCAGTTCCTTTCCCTTTGGTAACTGTTAGTCCATTCTAGGGTTCTGTGAGTCTGCTACTGTTTTGTTCCTTCAGTATTTTTCTTTGTTCTTTTACTGATTTGGAGAACTTTTACTCCCACCTGACTCAACGTCTCAATGCCTTATAACACCTGGTAAAGAAAGGACACATGTGGGAATGGGGAGCAAAGTAACATGTCCCCCTTTGAGGTGGCAAAAATACTTCTGAAGCAGATTAAAGCTCTGGGCATCTCCAAAGGTGGTCTATCATTGGGTTGTAGCTATCTACCACAGCAGGATGTGTCTGTGACTCCAGAAGGTATAGATTGGGCAAAGACAACAGAAGGAGAGGGTACCTGTAGGGATTTTGGTCTCTGCTCTGGAGGGGACAGAAACTGATATACACTTACAGAGCAACAGTTCCTAGCAGTGTGCACAGCACTCCTCCAGGTAAAGCCTCTCACTAAGGAACAGCATTTGGGGTAAGACCTTCCCTTCCTATCAACCCACCTCTGCCATGGCTCAAACCCCCACTTTGACTAAGTGGCATGACTATTTGCAGCAGAGGAGCACCCTGTATATCCACCCACCCTTTCTAGAGATGCAAGTGTTATTAGGCCCTGTAAAGGATATAGAGGCTCCGGATGCCCCCTCCCCTGTTCTTCTAGCAGACCCTGCAGCTTATAAAGGGGGAACAAAGAAAACCCTCTTTGATACTTGATATATAGATGGGTCTAGTCGAGGCAATCCGGGCACGTGGATTGTAGTCCCTATTTGGTCCAACACTGACACCATCTGGATGAAAACAGGAACCAACCACAGCAACCAGAGGGCTGAATTCAGAGCCCTTTCGCTGATAATCACTTATCAGACCCGGACATTAACACTTTGCACTGACAGTTGAGCTGTAACTTGGACAAAAAAAGCCAAGGGTGGATTATCATAAACAAGCCCTTGTAGGGTCAGGACGTATGAGGGAACATCCAGGTTAGCCTGCAGGAAGAGGAGATCCTCACTGATTTCCCTGTCTGGCTCATAAAGCACTGAAGATTATTAATCTACTGTTAACTCAATAGAATTTTGTATTGTGTGAAGGAAACCCTTCCTTCTCCAGTTGCTATAAAACACATGGGTTCAAATCGAGCTTGGAACATGTGTCTTTCAATCAAATAGAAATGAATTGTCCAGAAGAACAGAATTCATTACTGTGTGCAGTCAGGAATCACAGACAGGTATTGGCATGTTAAAACATCTCACACCTTCACCCCTGCTGGACACCAGATTTAGACCTCAGATGGCAGAGCTGAAGGGAACGATCAGCAGGGAACCTGCTTGTTCCCAGAGAATTTCATGGCCTTAATTCAAGACAGGATTAAAGACTTACATAATAAGTAGGCAAAACCAAGTGTGCTAATCTGAGAAATTCTTTGATATTCTGGGAGTTATTACAACTCACCCAAGTCATTAAGAAAACTATATTCTATTAACATTCAAACACTCAAGTGATAACTTATGATAGTTACCATTATAATTCAAAATAGACACAATACTGTGATTCTCCTGGGAACCTCTTCCGGGACAGACTGCTTCTGCTCTTTTGGATGAAGGAATCCCTAAGGGGGAAGGATTCCTTTCTAGTCCCCCGATTTCCACACCAACTGTCAGACTTCAACCGCTCTTCAGTGTAATCGCCTTAAAGCATTTCCCAGAGGCCAGCAGTTGATCTCAGGGAGAAACAATGCGGTAACTGCCCAACCATGAGTGGGGAAAACTGAACCAGGGTCTGGATTCGGGCTCCGGGAGGACTGGGGAGAACAGCTGGTGGCCAGGACTGTGGGAAAACTGGCTGGATCATCCCAAAGGTCCTAGACCTTAGGTGGTTGGGAAGGTGTTGCGTCTGTGGGTGCGAGGTTCAGCTCCTCTGGTCATCTGGGAACTGCGGGCTCACAACCTGTTAACCCAGACCTAGCTGTGGACTACATTTCCCAGACGGCTTTGCTCCCCCGGCTGTCACTGTAGGACTAGGCGTGTCTGGGAGGAACCCACAGTCCGCGAGTATCGCGGCAGCTGCTTCCTCCACTCTTGCCGCAGCGGCTGCAGCTACGGAAGATGTTTGGGGTCCTGCTCTTGCTCCTCCTTTTCCCCCTTCTCCTGTACATCGCTGCACCCCAAATCAGGTCTGTGCAAATGTATTGCCTTCTCTTGAAAAGTCTTCTGGGGGACAGTAATCCTCACCAAAGCTCTGTGCTTTAAAAGAAGCAAAAGGAAAGTTCCCTGGGGGGCTCCAAGTAGGCCGAGGCCGGGAGTTCGGTTGGTCCGAGGAAGTCCAGAGGTCCTGGATGCCCAGGCGGGGCAGGGGGCGGGGACGGGACCAGAAGACCGCAGGCGGTGCGAAAGGCTGCAATCCGGAGCACCCTGCTTTGTTTCTCCTGGCCCCTTTTTCCGTCCAAGCAGCCGCTACTTCCGGCTGCAGAGAACCCCGAGTGCAAGGCAACCGCAAGTACTTGAATTTGTAGCTTTGGGGGATTCAGACCTCGAGGCTGTTTTTCCCTTAGCACTCACGCCTTGAGCCAGCCCTAACTTTCTGCTTTCAGCTTTTGAGGTGCAATGGAGTGATCCTACTTTTTGCTTTCGGAAACAGTCCTTCGAAGGGAATCGTGATAACCGCAGTTCCATTCCTTGCTCTCTTGTCACTGTTAGATTCACTCTCCCTCTGAGCAGATGTTGTAAAGGAGAGAAATGAAAGGATCTCATCACGAGCCCCAGCCTGCCTTCGGAGCATGAGTATCCGATCTGAATCATGCCCTGGGGTTTGGGGGTGAGGTGAAGAGGATGAGTATCTTACCAAGTGACACATCAGGCAAGGGCTGGCTGAGTGCCCCAGTGAATCAGCAGCGAGCTGCACAACAGGCAGCCTGCTGTTTCGTTCTGAGTAAGTCACCAGTAGTGACGTGGACGAATGACTGAAGAGAGACTCTCCTGCAGACACTGTACTCCCTCTAACACTCTTTCTGTTGTGTTTTTCCTCCCCACCACAAGATCCTCTTAACCACATAGACTCTCAAAGAACTTTGAGCCTGAAGTGAAAATAGTGCTCAAACCTCAGCAAGATTTATTAACTTTAATAATAACTAGCTACTAATCAAGGCCATAAAGTTCCATATTGACATAAGTGAGCCAGGTCTTGTTTCTTCTAGGATGATTCTTGTGATTTCTCAGACCTATTGAAGAACTGAAAGTGGCAAATCAAACTGGTTATGCAAGAATGTGACCCTCCAAGGGTCATATTCCTTGCCACATAGCCAGGTTATGGTAGCAAGGCAGAGCTGGACTTTGATAATTGATTGGCTCTTTCATTCCTGCTGGCTAAGGTGAAGAAAGAGCTGAGTATAGATCCTGATATGTTGTCACTCCTGAAGCAAAAGCTGAAAGTTGTCACTCCCGACGCATCTGAGGTGAAAGATACTGTTTGGTGGGCACCATGAGGTAGTTTGCTTCTTTATTGGCCTGTTTACACTAAGCAGGTAGCTCTCATGGCTTGGAATTTGCAATTACAAGTTCAATGAAAAAGGCTATATCAGGTCTATAGAAGAACTGAATCTGGCGAATCAAATACTCATCCAGTTCTCATATTGCAGGGAGCAGTGCTAAGGTTTGCCCTTGTAAAAGAATCACTTTTATCCTTGAGCAAGAACAGAGAACTTTGGAGCAAGAAAATCTTGAGCAAAAGCCATCAATTTTCCTTCTCTTTTCTCTAACCTTCTTAAATCTACAAAAGGACAGCAGAAGGAACCAAGGCAAAACCTCAGTCTTGCGATCTGAAGACATGGGGATTGTAGGAATCTCCAGCTGAGACAATGAGAATGAAGAACTGATGAGCTCTCTCTCCCTATCTGCAGGAAAATGCTGACCAGTGGGATGTGTACATCAACTGTCCAGCTTCCTGGGAAGGTGGCTGTGGTCACTGGAGCCAACACAGGCATTGGAAAGGAGACAGCCAAAGACCTAGCTCAAAGAGGCAAGTTTAATTGCTTCTAATTCCCTCTTACTACCACCGTTTTACCCTCAAAATGATGATGACCCTCCTTATTATTTCCTTCCAGTCTTGGAATTTGAGAACATTCCAAGTGCCCCACTGATTTGCTGGCCCAAACCTGGCATAAATGCTCTATATATAATAGATACTTAATGACTATTACTGATGTAGTTTTCTTCCCTGATTTGCTTGTCAGATACATCTGTTGTGAAATAGTAAAATTCCTACTTAAAAAAAAAGAGAAAATAATATTCAACATCAGTGTTAAGTCTATAATGCCCACCCCAAAACAGCTGACAGTTTTCCTCTTTTATGTATTGGTTGACAGGAGCCCGTGTATATATAGCTTGCCGGGATGTGCAAAAGGGGGAATTAGTGGCCAGAGAGATCCAGAACATGACAGGGAATGAACAGGTGTTGGTGCGGAAATTGGACTTGGCTGATACTAAATCTATTCGAGCCTTTGCTGAGGGCTTCTTAGCAGGTAAGTGTAGAACTAAAGACTGGGTTGTGAGTCTTGCAGTTAACATGGCATACTTACCTAAAAGGAAAAGATCACTTTCCCTCCCTAATACATAGAAATGGTAGATAAAATACAACCAAAAACTTGATTCACAGCTGAACTCATCAGTAACAAAGGGAAATCCTTTGTTAGAGGCAGGAACAAAAAAATGAACTCAAACAGCCATAGCAGTGCATAAGAACTAAAACCAAAAATCCCACAGGAGTGCCTGGACTCAGTATGGGCTTCTAGGTCTGGAAGGCCCTCAAGGAGGCCTCAGGCACTTCACTGCTGGGGAGCTGTATCTGAGAATCCTCCTAAGTTAGGATTCACAAAAAGCCATCTAGTCCTGATGTAGAGGCTTAAAAAAAGCTGGGCCACCAGCTCAGGGATATGACAGAGAGGCTTATCTCTTCAGGACATAGCTGGATAAAGAATCATCTGTAAGAAATTAGAATCTCAAGCTAGTATCACCTCTGGGGTGGGGTGGGCGGAATGTCATTCACACCATCAAATGGGCAAGAATCTCGAGCTGAGAAATTAACATAAAACCCTGCAGTATCACAGCAAAAGCAAACCCAAGAGCACTTTGTAGGCATATCCCCTCATAACCCAGGGATCTAGGCCTCCCAAGGAAAACAACTCATGGGCACTTATAGTCAGAAATCACAAAACACCTGAGAAAATAAACCATAAACCATGAGAGAGAGTTGGCTGATGCAACAAAGGGGTGAAACCAGTATTTCTTTGGGGACCCAAATCCCAGTGGCAGGGGTGCATGCAGAACATCCCTTTTCTCTTGCTTTGGAATCTTCCCAGTCAGTTTGGGAAGTCTTTCTACTGGGAGAGGGAGACAGGACACCTCCCAAAAGCAGTAGGTAGCTCCTGAATTGGAAAGATTGGAAAAGCCATTTGGTAGTGTAAGAAGGAATGCCCTGTAGGATTCATGTAGGATTCAGCTTAAGTCTTACAATGAAAAAAGGGAAAATGGAGGAAAGATTGAAGTTGTACATCCCCATTTTCAAAGCCTGGTTGTGAGGCAGATTTCTAAGGTGTAAGAGCTGTGACTGGCCACTTCTACACTCTATCTTCTCTTCCCTGCAGAGGAAAAGCATCTCCACCTTTTGATCAATAATGCAGGTGTGATGATGTGCCCCTACTCCAAGACAGCAGATGGCTTCGAGATGCAAATGGGAGTCAACCACTTGGGTAAGAAATCTGGTCTCATGCAAAGCTAGAGAAAACCTAAAGTTCTCTTTGGAAAACTCAGAAGTCACATTAAGCCTTGTTTGTGGTGTGATTGGATCTCTGGGCCATAAGCATAGACCATAAGGGAATAATAAATAATTCTGATCCTGCCTGAAAGCTCAGGAATAAATTTGATGTCTGCTTAAGGTTCCATTCACTTTTAATCTGTGATTTAGATTCAGTTTACCTTGGGGTATTTTTGAATAGCCTAATAGGATAAGGGGCTATGTTGCACTTTTGTAGTGACCCTTGTGACCAGCATCAGGTAGAAGCTGCCTGCCCTTAAAGAGTGATGTGAATCGAAATTGGAATGAGATATGACTTCATATTCATATCCACATAAGCCAGACCTGCCTCATAGGAGGATGTCTCATGTCTTTGGCTATTCCTGTTCCCCTAAACCCTCACTGAGTTTGTTCTGTAGTTACACTGATTTAATGAGGTAAAAAATATTATTCCTGAGTTCTCTGCCTTCCATAGCTGAGCCACTAGTCCCTTCATGCACAAATGGGCTGTGAACTTTGTTAATTCTAGTTTTTCTCATAGGTCACTTCCTCCTGACCCATCTGCTACTAGAGAAGCTGAAGGAATCAGCCCCATCTCGGATAGTGAATGTGTCTTCCTTTGCACATCACCTGGGAAGGATCAACTTCCATAACCTGCAGGGTGAGAGATTCTATAATGCAGGTCTGGCCTACTGTCACAGCAAGTTAGCCAACATTCTTTTCACCCAGGAACTGGCCCGGAGGCTAAAAGGTAAGCTTAGAAAATGTGTGGAGACGTGAGTCAGTGGGAAATAGCTAAAAGCCATAGGAATAGAAACTATTTTCCAGAGCCCATCCATGCCTACAACTGGGTATAGTTTTAGCAAGCAGCGCATAACTGAATATTGGAAATGGCTGGCAGGAAAGGTGGAAATTCTGACTTTGAGTCTCAAGGCTTGGTTTTATGGCTTACTAGCTGTGTGATCTGCCTCAAGTTACTTAGCTTTTTTCAAGACTTATTTCCTCATTTGTAAAATGGGACTACTTCACAGTTATTGACATAATTAATTCAGGGCTCACAAGCAAGTCAGGGTTTTTTTCTCATAGTGAGACTGAGTATATGGGAGAGATCTGAACTGGCACTAGATACAGCCATTAGGATGAAACAGGTACTGGGACTGTGGAGTGGGCTCTCCCTAAGTGAAGAGTCAAACAGAGGAGGGGATTCTCAATCACAAATAAATGGAGGTCCTCAGCACCATCTGCTGTGCATTTCCAATAAAGAGAAAGGAAATCCAGGGTGGACAATTGGAGTTGCTTAGGAGTTGATGCAGGTGGAAATTAAGCTCAAGGAGTCAGACCTAGGAGCTGCATTGTTGGAACAGGGTCATCTGACCACATGAACAGCTGTGGGATGGGGAGGAAGGAAGCTGGTGGTCAGTTCATGACATCCTCAGTTCAGGAGGGATCAGGGAAACTGGACGGTGAAGACCATCCAAAGGGTTGGTCAGGGTGCTAGGGTAGCCTGGAGGTGGGGAGACGGACCCAGCTGTGAGCATGGGATAAAAGCAGAGGCTACACAAGTGAGGAAGCCAGTCAGATACAAAGATTCGTTGGGGAACAGAAGGAAACCTGGCTGTGACAAATGGGTCCCTCATTCGCCCTTTCAGCAATCATGTACTCAGTGCCCATGCTGTTCTATGCACTGGGTCAGGGGCTTGAGGGTGGAGTGGTGAACCTGGCCCGTACAGTCCCTTCCTTGAATTGGTTTACATCCAGGCGGGGAGAGAGATTATTAACAAGAATTTATACAACTGTCACATGTAAAATCACTCTAGTAATTCAGGGGTAATTCTCGCTGTAAAAAGTTCAAATAATATGGAGGCATATGGAGTTACAGGTGAAAAACCCACTTCACTTTTCTTCTACTCCTACTTTTCTTCCCTTAAGAAACCACTGTCAACAACTTGATGTGCACCTGTCCAATCATTTTCTTATGCATCTATATATGTATATATCATGCATAAGGAACTGAAATTCCAACACAATGTCTTGGAGATCTTTCCATGTAGTACGTAGAGATTTACCCCATTCCTTTAGTTGGTTGCATTGTATTTCATAGTATAGATGTGCCTTAGATTTTCCTCATTAGTGTTTACTCATTTCCTTAACAACATCTAGATGAGGGCAAATGAGGGACCCATGCATAGATTGTTTCCTTTTGTTGTTGTCCAGTTACAATTGTGGTAAATGCTATAAAGGGGAAGTACAAGGGCCTATGATGAATTTTGGTGGCAGGGGCCTTTATTCAGCCTGAGGGACGACTTCTCCGAGGAAGTGAGTTGCAAGCTGAGCCCTTGCAGGATGATTAGAAATTAGATGGGTTAAGAGTGGGTGGGTGAGGCCTGTGAAGAGGCCGAGGAACATTCAAGGCAGAAGGAGAAGAAGGCACAAAGGTCCAGGTGTATTTGAGAGATTCAGCAAAGGCCACTGTGGTTAAAATGTAGAAAGCAAGAGGAATAGAGATCTGAGCTACACCAGTGAGGTGGAGAGAGGCGAAATCCTTAGAGGCTACAGCAAGGTGTTAGTGTTTGTTCTAAGAGCAGTGAAAAACCTTTAAAATGAAAGCCTTTCTAAAACAGAGGCAATGGTGGATGCAGCAACTGATTTCTCTAGTCAAGGTGAGAAATGAGAATAGCTTGGACTAGAGTAGTGGAGATGGAGTGGGTACTGGACTTCCTGAGAGATACTTAGGATGGGAAAGCCTCAGGGTTGTTGATTGGATGTGCAGGGTGAGGTGGGGAATTGTCAAGAACTGCTCCCATGTGCCTGCCTGGTTGGCTGTGGAGGGAACGCTGCAGGAACCAGGTTTGGCACTGAGAGTGTGAAGTCAGTTTTGGACCCCCCTGGGCTATGTTACCATGGGTCCTCTAGAGTAGATGTCAAATTGGAAATAGTACAGGTCCACAGTCCTTTATCTGCAATTGTGAAATCCCCAAAGGCCATCAAATTCATTTTTTCAATAAGCTTGGCACCAAAACTCATTTGTCCATGAAACCTCTCTGAGCCTTACCCTGATCCGTGGAAGGGAGGTGTAAAGTCCTGTGAGGAGCGCCTGTGGTACCGTCATGGGAAGGGGCATCCACATGGGTTCAAGTGTTCACTCATATCCTGTGCTCTACTGGGACATTTGGCAACAAGTCCTGCCTTCCCCTCTTTTTCTGGCATCCCCCCACTCCGATTAGGCACTGGCGTTACGACGTATTCTCTACATCCTGGCACAGTCAAATCTGAATTGGTTCGGCACTCATCTTTGATGAAATGCATATGGTGGCTTTTCTCCTACTTCCTCAAGACTCCTGAGCAGGGAGCCCAGACCAGCCTGTACTGTGCCTTAACGGAAGGTCTTGAGACTCTAAGTGGGAATCATTTCAGGTATGAATGTATCTGTTTATGAAGATGGGATTTTATTACCCAAAGGAAATAATTTGGATTTGTGTGGTTTACTGTATCCTTTTTATAAAATACATTGTTATGAGAATTTCCCAGATAGATATAAAAGAAACACCTTCCCCCAAATTGTGAGGGAACTGACAAGCCAAAGAACAACTTGGGAGTCACTGAGAGAGTAAATGAGTTTTATGAAGCGGTTACTTACAGAGCAATGGATGGCATTTGGGCAGAAGTCATCACCCCTTGCCCCTGCCTGATATACTAGTCTTTCACTTTCTTCATGATGTCCTTTGAAGCAAAAAAGGCTTTAATTTTGATGAAGTCTGATACCTGTTTTTTCTTTGGTCACTTGTGCTTTTGTTATCAAGAACCTATTGACCCACCCAAGGTCATAAAAGTTTACTGTCTTTTCTTCTAACCATTTTATAGTTGTAACATTCCATTTAGGTCTATGATCATTTTGAGTTAATTTTTGTATATTGTATGAGATTAGAGTCCATTCTTTTGCATATGGATATTCAGTTGTCCCAGAACCATTTGTTGAAAAGATTTTTTTCCCATTGAATTGTCTTGGTAAATGTATAGTCTACCTTGGGCTGTCATAACAGAGTATCACAGATTGGTGCCTTAAACATCGTAATTTATTTTATCACATTCTGGAGGCTGGAAGTTCAAGATCAAGGTACCGTTAGGGTTAGTTTCTGGGGAGGCCTCTTTCCTGGCTTGCAGAGAGCTGCCTTCTTGCCACGTCCTCATATGGCTTTGCCTCTGTCATGCACCCTCCTGGCGCCTCCTCTTCTAACAAGGACACTGGTCCTGTTGGCTTAAGGCCCTACCCTTATGACTATATTTTTATTAATCTTAATCACCTCCTTAAAAGCCCTGTCTTCAAATAAGTAGCATTGGGTGTTAGGGCTTCAACATACAGATTTTGGGGGACATGATTCTGTCTGTAACAGTAGCCTTATCAAAAATTAGTTGACCATAAATTTAAGGGTACTTCTGCATTTTTAGTTCTGTTCCACTCATTTATGTGTCTCTCCTTGTGCCAACACCACACTATCTTGATTACTGTAGCTTTGCAGGAAGTTTTTAAACTGGTCTTTCATATACACTGATTAATACTTACCAAAATCTCACTGGATATACGTGATTGGGCTGATATATTTAACCACAGTTCAATAGCTCTTAATGTGGTCTTTGAATATATTCTACAGCATGTCATAGCTTACAAGGCACTTATGTCTGTTGTGCCACTTGCTCTTCATCATACTCTTACGAAGAGTATAAGACAGCTCAGTGGAGGCTGCAGAGGTTTACAGAGGACAGATCATTTCCAAAGAGTCATACACAGTCTTCTGGTTCTCAGTGATGATGCTTTGACTCAGAAATGGCAGGTTGTGCTGGTTGCACTTGTTACCTTAAACAGAAGTACTGTACTTATAAAGCACGTTTTGTAGGTGCCAAGATATTTTTAAGTGGTCTTTAACCAAATTTTCCGGCAGTTAAGAATCATCTGGAGAAACGGTTGAAACAGATTCCTGGCCTCAACCCTAGATACTCTGATTAGGCAGGTTTGGTTTGGGCCTGAGAACTGGCATTTCTAATGAGCTCCCAGATGACGCTCTTGCTGCTGGTCCACAACTCCCATTTTGAGTAGCACTGTCTTAATGGACAGCATTAGGAGATTCCTTCATGTGGTTATTTTACGCTTAGCAATTTGCCTTTTCATCTGCAGAATTTGCTTAGAATTTTCAGCAAGCAGTTCTCTTGAAATAGTATAGTTTAAAAAATTGTTTGGTACCTAACTTCAAGGGTAACAATCCATTTACTCAATCATTTTCCAAGAACCTTTCTTGGAATACCTGCTGTGTACTAGATGCAAAGAATACAAAAATGAGTAAAAATCATCGAAAAGATGTTCTGGGTGGTCACATTTAATGGGGACTTAAAATAATTGTAATTACAGCAGTGAAGAGATAGTATATGAAACACCTCGTACCTTGTTACCATTTCTTTTCTACCATCATCTTTTTCTTTATTGTTTATGAAACTGGCTTTGCTTGTTATTTGAATTTAAAAAGTTATAACCACAGGTAGACCAGAAATAATAAGTTTATTTGTTTTACCACTCCAAGCATCTGTGACCAATAGCAAGATCTGTACAGGTCCTGAATGGGCAAGATGGACATACACAGATGTCAGGCAGGCCCTAATATTACAGTTAAATATGTACATATGAAGAGGAATACAAATTACAAAGACTAAATGATATGCATTATGTATCAATAGAACATTCTGATCAGAGATGGTCTAGTGAGGAGATCGAAAGTAGTAATTACATTTTCTCTGGGTTAAAGATTGAACAATGAAAAGACAGGACAAACACTGGTCCTACCAGACAGTGAAGCGCCTAGAGGACTATCATTCCTGGATAACCAAATTTTCCGGCAGTTAAGAATCATCTGGAGAAACGGTTGAAACAGATTCCTGGCCTCAACCCTAGATACTCTGATTAGGCAGGTTTGGTTTGGGCCTGAGAACTGGCATTTCTAATGAGCTCCCAGATGACGCTCTTGCTGCTGGTCCACAACTCCCATTTTGAGTAGCACTGTCTTAATGGACAGCATTAGGAGATTCCTTCATGTGGTTATTTTACGCTTAGCAATTTGCCTTTTCATCTGCAGAATTTGCTTAGAATTTTCAGCAAGCAGTTCTCTTGAAATAGTATAGTTTAAAAAATTGTTTGGTACCTAACTTCAAGGGTAACAATCCATTTACTCAATCATTTTCCAAGAACCTTTCTTGGAATACCTGCTGTGTACTAGATGCAAAGAATACAAAAATGAGTAAAAATCATCGAAAAGATGTTCTGGGTGGTCACATTTAATGGGGACTTAAAATAATTGTAATTACAGCAGTGAAGAGATAGTATATGAAACACCTCGTACCTTGTTACCATTTCTTTTCTACCATCATCTTTTTCTTTATTGTTTATGAAACTGGCTTTGCTTGTTATTTGAATTTAAAAAGTTATAACCACAGGTAGACCAGAAATAATAAGTTTATTTGTTTTACCACTCCAAGCATCTGTGACCAATAGCAAGATCTGTACAGGTCCTGAATGGGCAAGATGGACATACACAGATGTCAGGCAGGCCCTAATATTACAGTTAAATATGTACATATGAAGAGGAATACAAATTACAAAGACTAAATGATATGCATTATGTATCAATAGAACATTCTGATCAGAGATGGTCTAGTGAGGAGATCGAAAGTAGTAATTACATTTTCTCTGGGTTAAAGATTGAACAATGAAAAGACAGGACAAACACTGGTCCTACCAGACAGTGAAGCGCCTAGAGGACTATCATTCCTGGGTTGTTTTTCTGTTATATTTCTTACCCAGGGTAGGGAACAGACTCCATTCTTAACCCTGTGCTTTAAGCTTCTCTTTTTCCCTTCTAGTGACTGCCATGTTGCATGGGTCTCTGCCAAGGGTCGTAATAAGACTGTAGCAAGGCGCCTATGGGACGTCAGCTGTGACCTGCTGGGCATCCCTGTGGATTGACAGGTAGTGGCAGTTGGACCCAAGAGAAGCCTGCAACAGACTACTTGGTATTCCCTCCCAAAATGAGTCTCCTTCAGGATGGACAAAACTTTGAGCACAAAGAGAGCAAATCTTCCTTCTTGATATCTGATAAACGCCTAGTGTACACTGTCAGATTGATCTAAACACCTTGCATTTATTTGTCCAGATTTACTTTGCTCCTATTACTACCAGAGTTCCTAGAGATATCATAGGATAAGAAGACCCTCATATGACCTACAAGCACTTATCTCCCTTCTGAAACCTACTACCTAGGAGAATCTAAGCGGTGGCAGGGTTAATTTATGGCAGTTTGGACTGGTTTCTACCCTCTTTGTTGACAACCAACCAGCCTTCCCTTCAAGAGGGCTACACTGCAGCTGTCTTATAGGGCTTATCCCTCACCTCTTCAGAAAACCATCACAGCATCTGTGTCTGGATTCTTTCAGGAAACTCGTAACTGAATCTGGATTATGACATTGCATTGTCTCTGACAGCCAAAACCCACTGCTGTTAAGATACTTTCGCATGTCTAGACTGTGGAAGAGCTTCCTTTCCTAAGGCATTTGTGGTGCTTGGGGCATGGCAGAAATTTGGGGAAAGGGAGAAATAAAAATCAAGTTTAAACTGTCATTTCCTGCTGCCTCAAGCCAGCAAGGGGTAGTGCAAGGAGCAGTATGGGAAGGTAGGCCACGCGAGTTACTAACCCCAGGCCACAGAGGCCTCCTTTTCATGCCTTAGTTTCTCTTAGAACAGAAGGGAAAGGCAATTTGGTGATTGTCACTGATTATATCTTTGTGTGTGTTTTTGTGTATTTATGCAGTTGGCAGTATTTTCACAAAATTCAAAATAGCCACAAAGAAACAGTATTAAACAGGACCCTGGTGCAGGTAAATGGTTAGAGATGGAGTTAAACCAGTGTCATCTAGTCTTCAATACAAATAAGGAGAGCTATGAAGGGAAGCAAGCTCTGTATGGGTTGATAACTACCCACCAAGAAGCATATGGGTACCGGGGAAAGAGTCCAAAAAAGAAGAATCCTGGAAGATAATGCATGCAGTGAAAGCATAGTTAAGAACTAAAAACAAAACAAAAAAACAGCTAAAGAGGGTAATAGTGACTTACAGAAGAATTGAGAGTGAACCACCTGAGTTAGCAAGACTGCTAGGGCACTATTTTAACAAGCATCCATCAACCAATTTTGCAGAAAAAAAACCCAGAATAAAACCAGTTCTTTATTCAGCAAAATTATCTTAAGGACTGATATTGGTAAGTACAGTTGATGTAATAATCTTTTGGGGGCATTTCCTTACATTATCTTGACAAGATTAAAATGTCTTTATTTGCTAAATCTACATTTTATTTGGGGGATTTTTACCAAGAGTAATGTTGCCAAAGGAAGGATGGAATTGGTAATGTTCCCATCACTTGTTTGGAGTATGTTGTTGTAATAGAGTTTGTGATTTTTCTTCGACTGACAATGAATGATGTTCACTTTCATGGGGAAAAGAGGTATAGGACTACAGTCCTCTCATATTAGTAAATTAATCTTTTATTGAACTTGTTTTGACCTTTAATTAAACTATAAATTTAGAAATGGTCATTTTACAGAAAAGTTGAAGTTTTTATAATGGTGCAGTAAAATAACTGAATTAATATTTTAATTATATGGAATTGTCAATGACAAAAATGTTGTTGATGTATTTACCAGAATAAAAATTGTAATTAAACAAAAGTTTATACAGTCAGCAGACTAAAACAATTGAATGAAAGTTTAATTATAGTCAAAAGAAGAAAACACTTGATTTAGTTATGCAATCATTTTTCACTCTAAGGATAATTTGTCCCAGAGTCTAGCCACAGCCAGTTTCCCTTCAAATGCCATTAACTTCAGTTGTGTGATAATTTGTTTATGCAATCACCGATTTCTACTTAAGCTTTTATGATACTATTCAAAGATCACTTTTTCCATCCCAGGCTATTTGTTCTCTCTCCTTATTGTATCTGCCCCTTCTGTGTCACAGTGCTATGGACTTACCACAGGTATGCTGCCACTAGCAACATCAGATTTTGCTATCTAGCTCAATGAATATTAGGAGCTTGTCTTGCCAATGGGTTTCAGTTTGCCATGGATTCAATGTGACCAAAGAAATCGACAGCAAAACGTTCTTGGGGTGAAAAGGTATACTCAACTTTATTTCCAGGTGGCAGGTCAGTCATTAAAATCCCATTCACTCAGAGCGAGTCTGCATGCAGCAAGCCAGTCTCTGCCTCTGGGCCCCTCTGTCCTCACAGCCATCCCGCACAGCCATCCTCTGGGCCTCTGTCCTCAGCGCTGCCACCACTCCAGCTTCTGCTCTGCTCTCCTGCAGCCTTGCAGCCCTGCCACCGTGGCAGGCGCAGAGCACTGGGCGGAGCTCTTTATATAGAGTCAATAGCCATGTATTGCCCACAGGTGTGCAGTGAGCTAGTCAACCAGGGCCAGGTGACAATCCTGGCCACAGGAACTCTCATTTTATCCACACTGCAGGGTTCTGTCCTCTCAATCCATGTGCCCTTAAGTCCTCTGCGATGGTCCCTGTGCAAGGAAGCTTGAACATTGTTCTCCAGCCTCTCCAGCAAAAAGTCTTGCAGACACACAGGCCAGACTCGTGGCTCTGTCTCTGACCTCTGCCTCTTTGGTCTTAATGGCTGGAACTGCCGCACAGGTTTCAGTTGTTGCCATAGCTCCATCCTATTTGGCTTCCCGTCTAATTTCCTTCCATCTACTCCTACCCATATCAAATCAACCCACATCTGGGTCCTCATAACCCTCATGGGGCCCCTCAAATTCCCCTTGTGAGTAACAGGTCTTATTTCTTTCTGGGTTCTCATTGCTTCAGCTACTGTATGTGTCACCTTGCATTTTGTTACTGCTGCCTCAAGGCGGGCTGCACTGTCAGGAAAGACAGCTTCCCATCTCTGATCCCAACAGAACAATTCCATCCACCCCTAAGTCCCACAGCCACCGGCTCAGCCTGAGTATAGGGGCGGACCATAGAGTGCTCCAGGACCTGGGGAGGGGGCTGCTCCTCTCCTTGGGGAACTTTTGGCTGCTGGGTCTTTATTTTCTTTACAACCACTGGCGTGCTTTCAATACAGGAGGCACCAGTGCCTCCGGCACCAGCCCTTCGTCCTTCCCCAGCTCCTCCATTTCTGGGACTGGTGGCACCTTTCTCTCCACTCCCCCAAGTGCCTCCTCTGTGCCTCACAACAGTGCCAGCTCAGTCTTCAGAAGGTCTCTTACCTTCACCTCAATGCTCCCCAGCTGACGTTCTCATGCCACCTCCGCTTCCCTCAGGAGTTCATCTTTTTCCTTGATGGCCTCTTCCTCCTTCAGAACACCTGGCAGCACTGCCATCTTGTCTCCAATGGCATCTTGCTGCCAGTGCTCTCCTGCTGCCTCCTCCCGCATCAATGTCATCTCCTTCCTCAGGGAACCCACAGAAATTTGCAGTTCATGTTCTAGTGCTGCTATTTCTTGGGTCTCCTCTGTAGACTTTTAATACTGTGAGAAGCAGCCAACCTACAGTTCCTGCTGCCTCACAGGCACTCAGCTTCTCAAAGGATCTACTTATTATACCAAGGGCTACCCCTACAGCCTCAGGTGTCACCTCCAGATTATCTTAAGGACTGATATTGGTAAGTACAGTTGATGTAATAATCTTTTGGGGGCATTTCCTTACATTATCTTGACAAGATTAAAATGTCTTTATTTGCTAAATCTACATTTTATTTGGGGGATTTTTACCAAGAGTAATGTTGCCAAAGGAAGGATGGAATTGGTAATGTTCCCATCACTTGTTTGGAGTATGTTGTTGTAATAGAGTTTGTGATTTTTCTTCGACTGACAATGAATGATGTTCACTTTCATGGGGAAAAGAGGTATAGGACTACAGTCCTCTCATATTAGTAAATTAATCTTTTATTGAACTTGTTTTGACCTTTAATTAAACTATAAATTTAGAAATGGTCATTTTACAGAAAAGTTGAAGTTTTTATAATGGTGCAGTAAAATAACTGAATTAATATTTTAATTATATGGAATTGTCAATGACAAAAATGTTGTTGATGTATTTACCAGAATAAAAATTGTAATTAAACAAAAGTTTATACAGTCAGCAGACTAAAACAATTGAATGAAAGTTTAATTATAGTCAAAAGAAGAAAACACTTGATTTAGTTATGCAATCATTTTTCACTCTAAGGATAATTTGTCCCAGAGTCTAGCCACAGCCAGTTTCCCTTCAAATGCCATTAACTTCAGTTGTGTGATAATTTGTTTATGCAATCACCCATTTCTACTTAAGCTTTTATGATACTATTCAAAGATCACTTTTTCCATCCCAGGCTATTTGTTCTCTCTCCTTATTGTATCTGCCCCTTCTGTGTCACAGTGCTATGGACTTACCACAGGTATGCTGCCACTAGCAACATCAGATTTTGCTATCTAGCTCAATGAATATTAGGAGCTTGTCTTGCCAATGGGTTTCAGTTTGCCATGGATTCAATGTGACCAAAGAAATCGACAGCAAAACGTTCTTGGGGTGAAAAGGTATACTCAACTTTATTTCCAGGTGGCAGGTCAGTCATTAAAATCCCATTCACTCAGAGCGAGTCTGCATGCAGCAAGCCAGTCTCTGCCTCTGGGCCCCTCTGTCCTCACAGCCATCCCGCATAGCCATCCTCTGGGCCTCTGTCCTCAGCGCTGCCACCACTCCAGCTTCTGCTCTGCTCTCCTGCAGCCTTGCAGCCCTGCCACCGTGGCAGGCGCAGAGCACTGGGCGGAGCTCTTTATATAGAGTCAATAGCCATGTATTGCCCACAGGTGTGCAGTGAGCTAGTCAACCAGGGCCAGGTGAGAATCCTGGCCACAGGAACTCTCATTTTATCCACACTGCAGGGTTCTGTCCTCTCAATCCATGTGCCCTTAAGTCCTCTGCGATGGTCCCTGTGCAAGGAAGCTTGAACATTGTTCTCCAGCCTCTCCAGCAAAAAGTCTTGCAGACACACAGGCCAGACTCGTGGCTCTGTCTCTGACCTCTGCCTCTTTGGTCTTAATGGCTGGAACTGCCGCACAGGTTTCAGTTGTTGCCATAGCTCCATCCTATTTGGCTTCCCGTCTAATTTCCTTCCATCTACTCCTACCCATATCAAATCAACCCACATCTGGGTCCTCATAACCCTCATGGGGCCCCTCAAATTCCCCTTGTGAGTAACAGGTCTTATTTCTTTCTGGGTTCTCATTGCTTCAGCTACTGTATGTGTCACCTTGCATTTTGTTACTGCTGCCTCAAGGCGGGCTGCACTGTCAGGAAAGACAGCTTCCCATCTCTGATCCCAACAGAACAATTCCATCCACCCCTAAGTCCCACAGCCACCGGCTCAGCCTGAGTATAGGGGCGGACCATAGAGTGCTCCAGGACCTGGGGAGGGGGCTGCTCCTCTCCTTGGGGAACTTTTGGCTGCTGGGTCTTTATTTTCTTTACAACCACTGGCGTGCTTTCAATACAGGAGGCACCAGTGCCTCCGGCACCAGCCCTTCGTCCTTCCCCAGCTCCTCCATTTCTGGGACTGGTGGCACCTTTCTCTCCACTCCCCCAAGTGCCTCCTCTGTGCCTCACAACAGTGCCAGCTCAGTCTTCAGAAGGTCTCTTACCTTCACCTCAATGCTCCCCAGCTGACGTTCTCATGCCACCTCCGCTTCCCTCAGGAGTTCATCTTTTTCCTTGATGGCCTCTTCCTCCTTCAGAACACCTGGCAGCACTGCCATCTTGTCTCCAATGGCATCTTGCTGCCAGTGCTCTCCTGCTGCCTCCTCCCGCATCAATGTCATCTCCTTCCTCAGGGAACCCACAGAAGTTTGCAGTTCATGTTCTAGTGCTGCTATTTCTTGGGTCTCCTCTGTAGACTTTTAATACTGTGAGAAGCAGCCAACCTACAGTTCCTGCTGCCTCACAGGCACTCAGCTTCTCAAAGGATCTACTTATTATACCAAGGGCTACCCCTACAGCCTCAGGTGTCACCTCCAGTTGCCTCCAGTCCTGGGGTGGGGATCAGTCCTCTGGGAGGCAAGCCATCTCAGACCACATACCCATTGGAGGACAATCCACTGTCTCCCCATTCAAAGGGGCAGCCCGCTGAAGCACCCCTCCCATAAGGGCAACTGTCTTTTTCCTTGGTCAACAGTGAACCCTGCCGACTTTTGCCAATTGTCTTGCCAATGGGTTTCAGCCCCAGACAAGTTCGCTATGGATTCAACGTGACCAAAGAAATCAACAGGAAAACGTTCTTGGGGTGAAAGGGTTATACTCAACTTTATTTCCAGGTGGCAGGTCAGTCACTAAAATCCCATTCACTCAGAGCACGTCTGCATGCAGCAAGCCGGTCTCTGCCTCTGAGCACCTCTGCCTGCACAGTCATCCCACACAGCTGTCCTCTGGGCCTCTGTCCTCAGTGCTGCTACCACTCCAGCCTCTGCTCTGCTCTACTCTCCTGCAGCCTCGCAGCCTCGCAACCCTGCCACTGTGTTGCGCCCAGAGCACTGGGCGGAGCTCTTTTTATAGAGTCAACAGCCATGTATTGCCCGCAGGTGTGCAGTGAGCCAGTCAACCAGGGCCAGGTGAGAATCCTGGCCACAGGAACTCTGATTTTATCCATAGAGCTCAACAAAATTCTGTTGAAGCAATGGCCAGTGAACTTGGTCTAATTAAAATAAGGGTCCAGGCAATATAAATCACCAAGTCATTTCCCTTTAACAGTTACATATTTTTAATGTGTGGGCAGTTTTAAGAATTGTGTGCCAAGCAAACATTTCAGAATGGGCTCCATAGGCAAACCATGAAATTAGTAAAAACAGAAACTTGCCACGACTGAAGCCTGAAAATCCATGGAGGGCAAGGATTTTGTTAACACATTACACTTAACGAGAAAGAAACTGTAATTAACCTATTACACCTGGAAAGAGGCCTGATGAAGCCGGGTCCGCCTTGCTCACCCCATAATTACCCTAGAGCAAAGAGTGAATCTTTTATTTACTAACATCTGCCCAAATCCTTGCACAATGACTGTGTAACATTAACGAACACCTTCTGAGTGAACGAATGCACTAGGCGAGTCCGGACGCTAGAGGCTGAGCACACACTTGGGGGGTTACGTTGCCGAGGGACCACTTGTGTATGCGTGTGCCCCTGGTCACTTGACCTCCCCGGCGGTAAAGTGCTTTACAGCTCAAGGGCGGACAGGAACCTGGCTCGGCTACGTTTCAAGGGCTAGAAGCTAACATCCAGTCAGAACGTGAACTGAGGAAGTCAGGATAGCCAAAGCTGCGATGACAGCGAAGATGACATCGAGGCATTTAATGTTACCAACCCACTGCGCATTAGCATCACCCCTCTCGGCTGCGGCGCCGGCGGAACCACAGCCTCCGCAGTCTGTGACCTACGAGTCGGATGATCTTCCGCCAGGGACTATAGTCCCCGGCATGCACTGCAGCGACCGCCCCCTCGCCGGAAGACGGGGCCTTGGAGAGAGGCGGCCGCTCTGCCTGTTAACAGGGGTTCCCGCCGGCTCTTCCGCCGTGGCTCTCTTCTCAGCCCGGGACTCGGTGCTTCCGGGTTGTCGGACTGCCGCTCGCTTCGGCGCGCCGCCGCCTCCTCAGGAGTCGCTTGCGCAGCATAGCGCGCCTGACTTTCCGTCAGGCTTTCGGGCCTGGAGCTTCCTCAGTGACGGAATGAAGGGGGTGGGCATTCTGGCTCGGAAGGACCCCGCCGCGGCCCCGGAAGCGCCTCGTCCGGGGTGGTGGTGGCGGCGGTAGCCGTGATGCCTGCGGGGCTGAGCAGGTGACCGCCGTGGTTGGAGTGGGCCCAGTTGCCCAGAATCTCGGCGGCCGCTGGTCGAGGGCGGCTGACGCCATGGCCACCTCCGCCGCCTCCTCGGAGCATTTCGAGAAACTGCATGAGATTTTCCGCGGCCTCCATGAAGACCTCCGAGGAGTGCCAGAGCGGCTTCTGGGGACGGCAGGAGCAGGTGAGGCGGGACAGGCCAAGCCGTGGGGAACTCGGTCCGCACGCTCTGGGAGGAGAGCCACCCCTAGGCACACACCTCGTCCCAGCCCCGGGCCCTTATTCTCAGCCACGCCCCCTAAGCTGGCTGGTCCCGGCGCCCGGGTCTCACTGCAGCCGCGTAGGGGGCCCAGGCGTGGACCTTGGAGTGTCGTCACCTTGGGCTGCTTTTATTGCCTGCAAACTTTCTCGTCTCTTTTATTCACTCTGGCAAGAAGAGCATAGGAAACGTTAAGATCTGCGGTGCTGTGTGTTTCGGTAGAATTGGTTTCTCTTGTAGCTCTTCTGTATTTTGTTTTACACATTTAAAAGCAGTATTTTCAAGAGAGTCCGTAGTTTTCTACTACGGAATCATAACTTTTGGGGTTGGTAAACAGTTTTGGGGGTGGGTGTTTAAAATCAGGATTTTGGCGTTTAGGTGTGGTTCTCTTACGAATTGGTGCTTAGATTATTTACTGCCCCTTGATTTCAAAATTAAAGTTGTTACAAACTTTGCCGGGCGGAACTAGAGTTTTCCAGTTAAATCCATAAGAAGGCCTGACATAGAACAAATAGATGTTGATGGCAAGGTGGGATAGGACTTTGTTTTTAAACGTCAGAGTTTGTTTGCTTTAAGAAATTTGGACTTGATATGGATAGCCAGCTGACTAATACGGTCAGATTTCATTTTAGAAAAATGGTGGTGGCCAAGTAGAGGATGAAAGAGAGGCACACAAATCTGGATACAGGGAACCAAGTTAGAAGCCTTTGTGGCAGTCAGGTAGTTAATGCGGGAATCTATGGCATCCTAAATCCAAGAGGTGATTCTAAGGCAGATTGATTCGGGAGTGAGGCAGAAAGATTCAGGGATGTGTGAATTTTCTCATTTGGTCAATTGAGTGAATGATGAACTTAAATAGGATATGTAATAGTAGAAGCAGGCTTGTTTGGGTGGTGGATGAAAACATCTAGGGTGCTTACAGAATAGTGATCATAGTGTATGTCCACTTTAGCCTGCCATTTCTTCTCTTGCCTTTAAAAATAACATGTATGAAGAAGATATGTGAATTGACAGGTAATAGTGTAATATTTAAACAACAAGGATTTTAGAGCCAGATGGCCTAGGTTCAAACCTACATCTGGCTCTTAGTCGCTGTATGACCTTGGACTTAAACCTAGTTTCCCCTGCAAAATGGGGATGAATCACAGTACTTACTTCATAGGAGTTTTGTGAGAATTAAAAGAGTTAGCATATGTAAAAGCCCTTAGAATACTGCCTGATAATAGTAAGAGCAATTAGCTATTTAACTGTTATACAGGAAATTGGATATTTTATTTAAATAAAACAGAATGCCACCTCTGTATATATAATACCCTATCCTTGATCTACTTTTCCTTTTTTTCTAGAACACTTATCTTCCAGCGTGCTAGACACTTTACATATCTTAATGATGTTTATGGTATTTTATTTGTCATCCTTTCACTAGAACAGTGGTTTGCAAAGATGGTCTCTGAACCGGCAGCATCAGCGTCACGTGGGAACTCGTTAGAAATGCAAATTCTTGGGTCCCTGCTTACTTACTGAATCATTAACTGTTTTTACAGTCTAAACAGCTATCCAAGGGTCCAAGGGATTTCTGATGTCAATTTTGAAAGCCACTGAGCTAGAACATAAGTTCTATATTTTCTCCACATCCTCCCCAAAATTTATTTTTTTGTCTTTTGGTAATAGCCATTCTAAAAGTGTGAGGTGTGAGGTGAATGTAGTTTTGATTAGCATTCCCCTGATGATTGGTTATGTTGAGCGTCTTTTCATGTGCCTGTTGGCTGTACATATGTCTTCTTTGGGGGTAATGTCTGTTCAGGTCCTCTACCCATTATTTAATCAGAGGTTTTTTTCTTTTTCTTTTTTACAACTATTGAGTTGTAAGAGTTATTTGCGTATTTTGGATATTAACCCCTTATCAGATATTTGATTTGCAAATATTTTCTCCCATTTGGTAAGTTGTGTTTCATTTTGTTGAAGGTCTCCTTTGGTATGCTGTAGCTTTTTAATGTGATGTAGTCCCAACTTGTTTATTTTTGCTTTTACTTTTGGTGTCAAATGCAAAAAAAATCACCAAGGTTAATGATTTACCTTTTGTAATTTTTTGCTAGGAAATTATGGTTTCAGGTTTAGGTTCAAAATTTTAATCTGTTTTGAGTTAATTTTTGTGTATGGTGAAAGATAGTGGTCCAGTTTCATTCTTTTGCATGTGGCTATTTTTCCAGCATTATTTATTGAAGAGACTCTCTCTTCCTGTGAGACAATAGAAAAAATATATATTGGTCTCTGCCCTCAGTTCCTGGCACAGAGCTCCTAAAACCCTTATATGTTCCTAAGTGATAGGAACACTGGGAGCATCTTTTGTTCTAATGAGGGAACTCAAAGCTAATGAGCTTCTAGGTGGCTCCTGAATGGGGGCTGGTCACTGGAAAAACAAACCCGTGATTAGAGGTTTGGAATTTCAGCCCTGCTCCCCAGTTCTCTAGAGAGGGGAGAGAGGCTGGAAATGGAGTTGATAATTAATTGAGTATACCTATATTAAGAAACTGCCATAAAATCCCAATAGTATAGGGTTTGGAGACCTTCCAGGTGGGTGAACATATGTGTGATATGAGGTATGACGCACCTCAGCTCCATGGCGATAGAAGCTCTGTGCTCAGGATGACTCCTAACTTTGCCTTATGTATCTCTTTCTTTGGCTGTTCATCTGTAACCTTTATCATATCCTTTAATAAAGTGGTAAACCTAAGTAAGTGTTTCCTTGAGTTGTGAAATGCACTAGCAAATTGATCAAACCTGAGTAGGGGGCGTTGGGGACCTACTACTTGTGACTGACATCTGAAGGAGGGGGTCAGTGTCATGAGACTGAGCCCTTAACTTGTGGAATCTGATGCTATCACCAAGTAGATGGTGACCAGAAGTGTATTCTGTGTAAGTAGTCAAGGAGACACACAAAGGAGGAAGGATGGGATTTTTCCTGATTCGGAAGCAGAAGATACAGGAGGAAGCAAGAATGGGTTTTCCTAATACATTTCCCCATTGTATATTCTTGGCTATTTTGTCATTAATTAATTGATCATATATATGTAAGTTTATTTCAGGGCTCTCTATTCTATTCCATTGATTTTTGTGTCTGTTTTTATGCCAGTACCATATTGTTTTGATGTAACCACTTATTTGAACTGTTTCTTTGGATCCTTCTAGAATATGCTTCTTAAGAATGCAGATTTTCATGTCCTTTAACAAAGGAAGAGCAAAGGAGGAGACTTTATGACTAATAGAGCTGTAGAAAAACCTGAGCTAGGAAGGGAATGCATTTATATGTAGAATACTTCATAACTGTCTGGTTTAGATCAGAAGTGAGTGTGCTTGAACTTGGAGATGTGCTTATTCAGGAGTGATGACACAGCACTTTTGAGACAGCTTATTACAAAATAATATGATTCCTCTCCATGGAAGTAGCCATTCTTGATTGCAGCAGATACTATTTCAATGCTGGAAACTGAAAACACAGCCCCTTCAGGGATAGTAAAAGTTGTTTTGGTGCTTATCTCAGTTACCTCATGGATTGTCAAGATGCAGATCACTGCCTTGGCTGAACTTTATCCCCCCAAGCCCTCCCCTCACCTTTTTTTAAAAATAACAAACCCTGGGTTTTGTGAGCACTGTGAAGTGAGTCATTCACCGGGGAGCCTTGTGTATTTTTTAAGGGGTGTCACATGACAATGAGTGAGGCTAAGTAAAGGGTACATTGTCATTTGCTCGCAGGCAGTAGCAACATCTAAGGATCACCCTACCAGGTTTAAAGTTCTAGAAGCTATGGGACACATAAAAGAAAAAGTAACTTTTTTTATTTCCTATTCTGGAGGAGCTTGAACTCAAATTGAGAATATAGAATATACACATCCAAAATGATTTATGATCATTTAAAAAGCAGCAGACAACTGACATGCTAGATGCTGTTTTGATTAAATCCATATAAAGCTTTATAGTGGTATTACTTCTTAGTGGGATTGGGTTTGAAAGTCAAGGTTTAAGATGAAAGTCAGGGTAAACAAAATTAGCCAAGAAAATCTTAGGACAGCATATTGAGTACCCACATGCCATCCTTCCATAAGCCCAACTCAGCTGTTCTCTTTGGCATTGGCAAAGACTGTTCTTTCTCCAGTCGGTGGGATTGCTGACTTGTATTTAGGAGTCACAGTGAACGAAAAATACATAGCTTTAAAAAACCATGTACCCATACATGCTACAACGTGGATGAAGCTTTACATTATGCTAAGTGAAATAAACCAGACACAAAAGGACAAATATTGTTATGACTCCTCTTATGAAGTACCTAGAGTAGTCAAATTCAAGAGAAATTAGAAAGTAGAATGATTGTTACTGGGGTTTGGGGTGGAGGGCAGTGGGAAGTTAGTGATTGGTTTGGAGTTTCAGTTTGGAATGATGAAAAGGTTCTGGGATGGATAGTAGTGATGGTCATACAACAATGTGAATGTACTTAATGCCACTTACCTGTATACTTAAAAATGGTCATGGTAGTAAATTTTATCTTCTGTGTATTTTACCAGTTTTTTAAAAGACTGTATCCCCAGATTGTGAAGGTAATTCCAAAAGATGTGTTCAAAAAATCATTTAAGCAATGGTAACCTTGTGGTAATAAGCAGATTATATGTAAGTTTCCATGAAGAACATTGATTTGAACATTAAAAAAAATCGAACTCATGAATAGGGCTAATACTTGCTTCCTAGATGTGAAGGGATGACCTACCTCCTCATTTTGTAACTTATGAGAGGAGTTCAGGTTCCAAGAAGATAAAAACAATTATCTAAGCTTACACGGTAAGTCAGCCCCAAAGCTAGAACCAGAACCTGACTTCACCATGGTTCCCCCTGTACAAATCTGTACCAGGTGACAGCATGCCAGTACTCCCTTCATCAGTTTTGCCATGTCCAAGTACCATTTCTCTATTAGTCATTTTCTCTGTATCAACTTATTTTATGTAAAATATACTTAGTACATAAAGTTGTTTAAAAATGAAAATTTATATCACTCCTTTAAATGGGAAATGTGTAGAACCTATCTAAATGGCCAGAAAAAATACAATGAAGGCAAAACAATGCTGTTTTTAGTTAGATGTTATTTCTTAGAAGCTGATGCCTGTTCTGTTTTTGTTAAAAGGGAGATTCTCAATATTTAGGTTTTAAAGACATATACCAGCACCAGAATGACATGATGTGAGGGATTGAAAGGGAATGACTTTCTTATTCTGAGTTAATGGTATTTACATTATTTCCCATACCACTGCCAGCGGGTATGGCCAAGAAATGTCCCCTACCATGCAGCCTAATCAGTGAGCAGAGTAGGTGGGTTTTGAACTTCTTTTGCAGAAAAGCAGTGGATAAGGATTGACAAGAGAAGTAATTCACAGTGGGTGTGAAAACGGGGACAGGTTTCAAAGAACCAGTGTTGTTAAATATTCTTAATTATGAAAGTGAGTCTGGTCCCTCTTGTTAGGATGGGAAGGAAAAAACTGACAATGATTAGACTTGTAGTATTTCATAGTAGGGACACTGTTGGTTTGGGACCAGATGATTGTTATGCAGGACTGTCCCAAGCATGGATATTCTTGTTCCCTGGGCACTAAATGCCAGTAGTAATTATGATAACAGGTTCCCATACATTTCTAAATGCCTTTTAGGGGTGATTAAGTACTACCCACCATGGGAAGGATGGGGAGTTATTCTGAGCAAGGGAGCAGCCACAACAAATGTATGGAAGCAGGACTGTGCATTTTAAATTTATCTGTCTTTTCTAGAAGAGAAGAAGAAGTTGATCAGAGATTTTGATGAAAAGCAGCAGGAAGCAAATGAAACGGTGAGAACAGGGAGAAAGTCCTTATTTCTTCTTCTACCTGGTGTTGGTCTTTTCCTGAAGTAATGCCTATGCCTGATCACAGATGAACTGTTCCTGTCTACTGATCTTGATTTTGATTATTTCTTACTAAATGAGGCCAACTGATGGGAATGGGTCTTGGGTGGGGTTGATGAACGCAAATAGGTGAAGCTTGAAGACTTCTTAAATGAGTCTTTGATAATACATCCTGATGTGAACATAAGGGCATACTCATACCTTTATCTGGTTGATCTTTCTAAATCTCATTTTAAAAGCTGGTCCTTAAGATGAGTTGTTATTCTTTATTAAACTTACTGTCACAGAAAATTTAGCTCGGAGGTGGTTCTAGCCACATTCCATTCCATTTTAAAAGAGAGCACGTTGTTGGACTTGGTACCTTAGGCAAGGCATATGTGGACAGGATGAATTCCCAGTTAGGACCAAAAGCTTGTCAGTAGTTGGTCCGGGTCGCTGAGCAGTCTAGCAATTGCTTTTCTCTTAATCTGTGACTTTACTTTAAAAAAAATTTTTTTTATTAAGGAATTATTGATATACCCTTATGAAGGTTTCACATGAAAAAACATGGTTACTACATTTACCCATATTATCAAGTCCCCACCCATACCCCAATGCAGTCACTGTCCATCAGTGTAGTAAGATGCCTCTGTGACTTTACTTTTTTTTTTTTTTTTATCATTAATCTACAATTACATGAAGAACATTATGTTTACTAGGCTCCCTCCTCCACCAAGTCCACCCCCCACAAACCCCATTACAGTCACTGTCCATCAGCGTAGTAAGATGCTGTAGAATCACTACGTCTTCTCTGTGTTGCACAGCCCTCCCCATGTCCCCCATCATTACACATACTAATCATAATGCCCCCTTTCTTTTTCCCCACCCTTGTCCATCCCTTCCCACCCAGCCTCCTCAGTCCCTTTCCCTTTGGTAACTGTTAGTCCATTCTTGGGTTCTGTGTTTCTGCTGTTGTTTTGTTCCTTCAGTTTTTCATTCTTATACTCCACATATGAGTGAAATCAGTTGGTACTTGGCTCTCTCCGCCTGGCTTATTTCACAGAGCATAATACCCTCTAGCTCCATGTTGTTGCAAATGGTAGGATTTGTTTTCTTCTTATGGTTGAATAATATTCCATTGTGTATATGTACCACATCTTCTTTATCCATTCATCTACTGATGGACATTTAGATTGCCTCCATTTCTTGGCTATTGTTGTGACTTTACTTTTTAAAAAAAATTTGCTCTCCAGCACCGTGTCTGGCACTCCTGTAGTGCTACTCCATTCAATACAGCCTGCTGGAAGGTGGCGTGCTGGGATTTGGGAGACAATCCTCAGGTCACAAAAGCTTACTCCTCTTTTTGCCAACAACTCTTTGAAATGATTTCATCTTCAGTTTAGAAACCTTCAGTTTGTGGCCCTTCTGTTTATGAGTATGGATTACATTCAAAAGTTACAAGGGTAAAAAAAAAGACAGTGCTTAATAAATATTTGTTAAATTAAAAAAAAAATTTGCTCTCACCTTTTAGAGTCATTCTGTCTTCCTATCATCACTCTCTAGCTTCAACAAACCATTTGGAGAGATTAGGAATAAAATCCAGATCCTAGGTCGTACTCTGCAGAAATAGTTGCTTCTAGTTTTTGCTATTCCAGAGAAGACTAAGAAGACATTCTTTTTAAGCCAGGGACTACCTTCTTGCTTGCTGAAGAACAACTTCCCTATTCCACTTAAGTTCTGAGAAGCTAAGCTTATCTTCATCCTTCTTTGTTCTATATCTGTTTTAAGAAGGATCAGGCTATCAGACTGTGGAAACTATCTCCTTCTTAATGGCAATACTAGAAACTTAATACCTGTGTGCAGATGGGTATATCCATTATACCTAATATGGAGCCAGTGTTCGTTTTGGTTGACATGTTAGTGAAAGTATAAAAATCTTTTAGTTAATACTAATTTGTTTGTTTGATGCTTAGATACTTTCTCTGAACTTGGCAAAATTAACAAACTCTACTCTGCCCATCCCAGCAGATGAAAATAATTTATGGCCTCTTGTGAACTTGTCTAGGTGTTATTTTACTTAACCTAGAAAAATGGAAATCTTATTTGGACTTATCTCAACATAGAGACAAATGATTGAGTTTTGGAAAGAGGGTGGCAGGAAAGAACGTTGATGCCAGACTCCTATTGTTTTGGGTATCACCTCAAAGTGCATCGTGACACTACTTGGCATACTAAAAGAGAATTTGAAGATTTTGAGTGCTGACTTTTTATTGTCTCTGAGGGGGAGGTACTTGCTAGACTAGTATTGCCCTTAGTCTTGAGCAGGTTTCTTCAAGCTTTATGAAACAAAGGTAGTATTTCCTACCGTATTGATTTGCTGTGAGGATTAAATGAGAATGCATGTAAAAATGTTTAATAAGCTATGAAGTGCTTGTTAGTTTTTTCACTCATCACATACTTTTTGAATGCCTGTTCTGTGCTTGCTAGGCACTGTGCCAGGTGCTCAGAGTAATGAGATGAACATGTCACGTGTAGTCCTGGCTCTTGTGGAACATATGGTTAAGTACTTACTGGGGTCTGTATTTGATTAGTCCAAACTTGGCCTATGCCAAGACGAGGGAAAAAAATGGGCCATTTACTCACTACTTTCTGGCTTCTTAGCTGGCAGAGATGGAAGAGGAACTACGTTATGCACCCCTATCTTTTCGTAACCCTATGATGTCTAAACTTCGAACCTACCGGAAGGACCTTGCCAAACTCCATCGGGAAGTAAGAAGCACACCTTTGACAGCCACCCCTGGTGGCCGAGGAGACATGAAATATGGCGCATACACAGTAGAGAATGAGCATATGGTAAGCTTCAGCTGGTTTTCTCTCCTTGAAGGGCCTGTGTAAGAACCATATTTTGGAATACATGTTATCAGTCATACTAGACTGGTTTTTCCTGCCTTATTCTCTTTCCTGCATCTAATTCCCCTTCTCCTCTGGGGTATCCACCTCTGTATCTAGTAGTGCAGTTATTTCCAAGCCATATGCTTAGATTTCTTTGTATCCTTTATATATGAAACAATGCTTAGTATATAGTAGTGGTATGCAAGTTTTACCTGTCCTTATTATATCAGGACTGTGTATTTTGACCCATTGATCCAGTGTCCCCAAAAAATTCAGTTAGGTTTTTCTTTTACTAGAGTGTTGTTACAGAATTAACCCAAGCTTTCCTTTACATTTATATCAAGATGGCCCAACAGCCCAGATACAGTAGGGAAGGCAGGATGCTTCTGAAGGAGCTAAGACCTTACTCTCTTGTAGTGTTAAGTGAACTGGACTGCCTCTAAAGCCCCAGTATTCTGACTTATAGAATTAGACTAAATTGGAAATCTATATTCTGAAACTCCAGAAACAATAAAAATAAAACTTTACAAAGATTAAATTTAATATGTTTCATTCAGGATTATATTTCACAGTACAAAGTACAAATGGCTGAGCAAGTAGCATGGGAGAGAATGAAAGGGGGTCTATAAGTGTCAACCGCATGTATGTAGAAAGGCTAATAGTATAATTTTAAACAAATATTATTTCACGATGCATCCTGATTATAGTTTAAGAGACATTCAAAAGATACTGGCCTGACACTGCTGATGTCAAAACTAGAGGGTTTGATAATGATATAAAATTTTCAAAATTCACTTGTGAAGAGGAACACTGGGCCAAGGAAGGCAGGTGGAGTTTGTGAAAGTGAAATGGGAGGTGTAAGGTAACTTTGGTCATTTGTTACCCAGAAAGATTACAAAAGCAAAAAAGAGGAAGATAAGTCCAAACAATAATTTTGCTTTAAATTACTTATTTCAGATTATAAAAACAATCTAGGAATACATAACACCTTCAATAGGATACTTCCAAATCTAAGGTTGATTTATGCAATCCTGTTCTTCCTTCAGTCTAATCAGGTGAAAGTCTCCATCTTTTATTTTTTTATTGAAGCATCATTGATAAACAATCTTATATTGGTTTCAAATATACAAAGTGGTTTAACAGTTACCTAACTTTATTAAATCCTCATTCCCACTAGTGCAGTTACTATCTGTCAAAATAGGAAGATGTTACAAAATCATTGGCTATATTCTCCATGCTGTACTACCATCCCTGTGACTAATTTATGATTGAGAGTTTTTGTGCCCCTTTATCCCCCTCACCATCCCCGCCTCAACCTCTTCCCATTGGTAACTGCTAGTCAGTTCTCAGTGTCTATGTGTCTGCTGCTATTTTGTTCATTGTTTTGCTTTGTTTTTATATTCCATAAGTAACTGAAATCATATGGTATTTGTCTTTCTCCTCCTGACTTATTTCATTGATCATAATACCCTCTAGGTCCATCCATGTTGTCACAAATGGCAGGGTTTTTCTTTTTATGGCTGAATACTCCATTGTGTATATGTACCACATCTTCCTTACCCATTCATCTATTGATGGACACTTAGGTTGCTTCCATATCTTGGCTATTGTAAATAATGCAGTGATAAATATAGGGGTGCACATGTCTTTTCCAATCAGGGAGAAAATCCCCATCTTTTATTTTTAAAAAGCCTACTCCTGTTTGTAAGTTAAAATAACTCAGGTTTATTTTAGCTTCATTCAGTGGTTTCCTCATCCAAAATCTCTATGTAACATATGAAGTGAAAGGCTTCTTGTTACCTCTGATCTAGGAAGCCATCTTTTAGCTTCATGATGGTAGTGTCTAGTGCTAGTAGTTACCTGCTTATTAGTTGGCCCTGGGAGCCAGCCCCTTTTTGAGTGTTTGCACATGTGTGCTTGGAATAGCTAAGAACTCAGAGCTGAAAGGAAAGGAGCGACACACAGCAGCAATTCACCGGAGAAGTGCTGGGATTTGGGAGACAATCCTCAGGTCACAAAAGCTTACTCCTCTTTTTGCCAACAACTCTTTGAAATGATTTCATCTTCAGTTTAGAAACCTTCAGTTTGTGGCCCTTCTGTTTATGAGTATGGATTACATTCAAAAGTTACAAGGGTAAAAAAAAAGACAGTGCTTAATAAATATTTGTTAAATTAAAAAAAAAATTTGCTCTCACCTTTTAGAGTCATTCTGTCTTCCTATCATCACTCTCTAGCTTCAACAAACCATTTGGAGAGATTAGGAATAAAATCCAGATCCTAGGTCGTACTCTGCAGAAATAGTTGCTTCTAGTTTTTGCTATTCCAGAGAAGACTAAGAAGACATTCTTTTGAAGCCAGGGACTACCTTCTTGCTTGCTGAAGAACAACTTCCCTATTCCACTTAAGTTCTGAGAAGCTAAGCTTATCTTCATCCTTCTTTGTTCTATATCTGTTTTAAGAAGGATCAGGCTATCAGACTGTGGAAACTATCTCCTTCTTAATGGCAATACTAGAAACTTAATACCTGTGTGCAGATGGGTATATCCATTATACCTAATATGGAGCCAGTGTTCGTTTTGGTTGACATGTTAGTGAAAGTATAAAAATCTTTTAGTTAATACTAATTTGTTTGTTTGATGCTTAGATACTTTCTCTGAACTTGGCAAAATTAACAAACTCTACTCTGCCCATCCCAGCAGATGAAAATAATTTATGGCCTCTTGTGAACTTGTCTAGGTGTTATTTTACTTAACCTAGAAAAATGGAAATCTTATTTGGACTTATCTCAACATAGAGACAAATGATTGAGTTTTGGAAAGAGGGTGGCAGGAAAGAACGTTGATGCCAGACTCCTATTGTTTTGGGTATCACCTCAAAGTGCATCATGACACTACTTGGCATACTAAAAGAGAATTTGAAGATTTTGAGTGCTGACTTTTTATTGTCTCTGAGGGGGAGGTACTTGCTAGACTAGTATTGCCCTTAGTCTTGAGCAGGTTTCTTCAAGCTTTATGAAACAAAGGTAGTATTTCCTACCGTATTGATTTGCTGTGAGGATTAAATGAGAATGCATGTAAAAATGTTTAATAAGCTATGAAGTGCTTGTTAGTTTTTTCACTCATCACATACTTTTTGAATGCCTGTTCTGTGCTTGCTAGGCACTGTGCCAGGTGCTCAGAGTAATGAGATGAACATGTCACGTGTAGTCCTGGCTCTTGTGGAACATATGGTTAAGTACTTACTGGGGTCTGTATTTGATTAGTCCAAACTTGGCCTATGCCAAGACGAGGGAAAAAAATGGGCCATTTACTCACTACTTTCTGGCTTCTTAGCTGGCAGAGATGGAAGAGGAACTACGTTATGCACCCCTATCTTTTCGTAACCCTATGATGTCTAAACTTCGAACCTACCGGAAGGACCTTGCCAAACTCCATCGGGAAGTAAGAAGCACACCTTTGACAGCCACCCCTGGTGGCCGAGGAGACATGAAATATGGCGCATACACAGTAGAGAATGAGCATATGGTAAGCTTCAGCTGGTTTTCTCTCCTTGAAGGGC